TGTAGCCTTATTATGCCTGCATACTTAACAGTAACTGGAGGCAAAGAATCCTCCAGGTACAGGGAGAATAATAAATTACTCTCATAGTGTTTGTGAAAGGAACAGAAAAAAGTCACATCTCATTTCATGTCCATTTTTAATAATGTGAGGCTTTATGTAAATACTCTGATGTTGTACATGGCATCTATTGAAAATGTGGAAGCTCAAGTTTCAGATCCTAGAAGACATTGATGCATCTTTGTCTATAGCAACATCCTCATGTTATCATCAAAATTTCTCACTGAAGATGAAAAAAGGATTAAGTAACACAACCACATTCTGTAGTACTAATTGCTATTGCAAAAGTGTTTATAAGGTGAAGAGAGCAGTGATGCAGCAATACTTGGGTAGACTTTAATTCCTTTATATGGCAGGGGTAGAGGAGTACCCACCTTGGATGCAGCAGACCAACCTTGATGACAGGAAAATAAAGAATGTAGGAACTGTGCTCTATTGTACCTGTTCTAAATACCTCCTCCATCAGGAGGAACCCAGTTGGCAACACCCATCTACATCAGCCAGGCACAGCTTAGCTCAGGGCTTGAAGCAAACCAGACCCTCACCTGCCAGAGCAGTGCCTGGCTCTGAATTCATGAGGTCAGCAGCTCCATACAGAGCACAAGAAGCTGAAGCTGGCTTTGACTGGTCAGGGGTGGCCTGGGTGGCCCTACCAAGCTTGCTCAGGGATGGCAGCCTGTACAGTTGTTGACTATCACTGAGCTCTATTACTCCCACCCTGTTTGCTCCAGTCCCTCTGACCATAAGGTTACCCTTTTTTTGTTCAGTGCTGGGTGCTGCTTCCCTCACCATTGAGTCAGTATTGTCCTACACCCAAGTTGTTCTCATGTGCTCCTGCTGTGTAGAACCCAGATCCCAAACTCAGGAGACCAGGGAAGCATGTACATTTGGATACACGTGCAGGGATCAATCTGGATCTGGCAATACCGTTCCTAATGGTAAAGCAGAAAACTGCTGACCTTTGAGGGCCTCCTCATGGAGTCAGCTTCAGACTCCATTCAGCCTTCCTCTGAATTCCAGAATTAAGAGTGAGGTGTTGAAACTCAAGATTGGCTCTGCACAAGAAAGACCCATATGGGCATATGGGATCAACTCAGTTCTGTGGAACTGGAGAACAAACATACTGCTTCTAACCAGTCCACCGTGTTGCAGTCAGACCCCCTGGTACGTGCTGCAGGTGGCCACCCCTACTGTTCTGTTGAGCATGAAGTCCTTTTAACATTAATGCCTGTTAATCATACAGACAAAGATTTGGTTCAGGAGACACCCAAGCAGGAAAAAATAGAGTAGCTAAATGTCACCATCCCAACAATAAAGAAACTCACACTATTCTTACTTCCTTTAGGCAATCACAGTATGCAAGCAGATTGTGTGTCTTTTATCTGGCTACGTTTTTCCCCTAATAGATGCAAATTTCTGCTTGTCACAATAAAAACAGTAATTGTATCTGAAACAGCTTTCACATTGAATCTGTAATTTTTTCAGAAGTTTAATTAACTTTTGATTGCTATAACACATTTCAGTGTCTGTTTTGTACTTGTATGAAGGACTAAACAAAACACTAATCTATTTTTAATCATGTATTAAATTTTTGTTGCTTTCTTTAAACACAAGTAGCAGATAAAATCAACTGCTAAAATCACAGAACTGTACTTCCACAACAGGAATACCAGCCTTCACTGCAAACAGTTCTGAAATTTGTGTGGACACTAAATTGGCTCTGCTGGAAGAGCTAAAGAGGTGGACTAACTCTGATGCTACAGAACTGGAGCTGAAGAAGCCATGACCATCCTCAGAGGTATGGTGCAAAGCACAAAAAAACACAGTACCGCCTTCCTCTCAATCAACTTCCCCCAGAAGTCTGCAATGGTTCTTTCAAAAAATAAACAGACCTGAGGGACAGTTTGGAAGGGAAAGTGTATGATAGTTTTCACTCCATCTCTTCTGTTTCTGGTGGCTCTGCATAGGCATTGTGCCATACTTGTGGTCTTCAACAGGACTGCTCATTTCTGCCATCTGACTTGTACTAGGGAAATTCTTCATGCCCTCTTTGCTTTTCTTATTTAAATATCTCTGGAAGAAGGAGAATGATGGCTGGGAGGCAGACATACTCCTGACCTCTGGACAGTACTTTGAATAAGTCAGTACTAAATACAGTCATCATAACATCTTAGACAGTAAAATTATTCTGACACCACCAGCTAATCCTCTCTGCACCCACACCGCTGTTGGGCAGTACCTTGTCTCTTCCAGCTAATCAGCATTTCAGCTAACATTTCTGAGGCTGCACTAGGCTTAACTGGGTCTTGAACTAGACTGAGAAATAGGCTACAAATAATAATCACCAAATCTCCAAATATAGGAGCCAAAGAACCTATTTGTGCTATTTTTGATAAGGCAAGTAGCTCAAAAAGAGAAACAAAATAAGTAAACTGGGAGAAAAAGAGAAGAAAGAGGTCACCTTCCAACAGAAAGTGAAGGACTTGATTCAGTTCAAGATGTATGATCATAAACATCACTTCAGAAACAAATCACACTAACACTCTGACTGTCTTGTGGCAGTTTAAACATCTTGGACCATCTTTTTTTATTTCTTTGATGATTGACCTGTTGTTTCAACATGAATCCCAGTTTACAAATTATTTTATGGAAATATCTTTACCTTGTGCTGAAAATTTGCAATTCACTGTTGCAAATTCTACTTTCCAGGCCATTCTCTGATGATGAGTCTTTTAACAGCAATCTTTAACAGATGGCACATTCTGTCTCACCCTTCACACCAGCAGTGGCTCCCAAAGAATCCCAGGATTCTTTACTAAATGATTCTAAGTGATTGAAATTTTTTGTTTTGTTGTGCAAAGGAAGAGTTCAAAATTTGGCAATGGAGAAAATGAAATGTTGAAATCTAATTCTTCCCTTGACACTCTGGAGCCTTTCAGCTCCATCTGTCCCAAAGGAGGTAGTTCTACCAAGATAGAACCCTTGCCAGCAACCTACTTTGTATATTTGCTATCTAAGTGCTGCTGCAGCTTTGTATAGTTTCTTTTCAAAATAGATAGGGGCAACTCTGTCAATGTGATAACTGTGTTGCCCTGTTCTTTTAAAAGTTTTAAAGTTCTTTTAAAAGTTTTCTATGCCTTCTGATGTTTACATATTCCTAGTAGAGTTTCTCACACACTATCATGTAAATAATGATTGGTTTACATTCTTCTTTGTGAGAGGAGAGAATTGATAGACTCTTAGTTTAACCAGTGTGGTTGAAGAGTAGCAATTTCGTCCTCCAATCCACTGTCACTTTTAGAATTCTATATATTGCGAGGTCAGAAATAAAGTTAGTTTCCTTTTACTCTTTTGATCTTAGTGTAAATGTGTGCATTATTTTGTGTTGTAGTGTGACAATAACCGCATGAAAGATCAATGATCATGTTTCAGACACCACAAAGGAAAAACAGCCCAGATACATCTTGTCCCTTCAAAGGTCCAGTCAATTCCTGCCGCTGCCAAATGGTATGCAACACCAAACTTAACAACAAAAACCCCCAAAAAAACATCCCCAGGGAAGAATTCAACCACTTGAGATCATTTTGGTACTGAAAGACAAGGATAAAGCTGAGTCCTCACACAGGCAGAGCTTCCTTCCAGCATCCACCTACCTCTTGACAAAAGGATTTGTTCCAGATAGGCATAGAATCACAGAGTCACAGTATATCCTGAGCTGGAAGGGACCCATCAGGACCTTCAATTCCAACTCCTGGCCCTGCACAGGACACCTCAAAAATCACATCATGTGCCCGAGAGTGTTGTTGAAACACTTCTGAACTTAGATACTTAACCATTCCCACAAAGGATAAGGAAAAACACACCTCCGCTGCAATTTGTGAGACTGCCATCTGCCCCTCTGAAAGATAAATGATATGAAAATAACCAGAAATGTCTTCTGGGTACCATTCTCAAAATAACTACTTTCAGATCCAGTGACAACAAGCAGAGAGGATACAGGAAATATTTTGGGACAACTGTCAAATCCAAAACATGCAGAAAAATGTCTTTATATAGTACCTGATAAACATACCAATATATTTTATTTATGGATATATTATTTAGATGTCAGGAGGTGGTTTTTTAAATATAAAACCCACAGTCAAATCCAAATCCACACCTAAAATCTATCCAACAAATTTACTATCATTCCTTGGCCTAAAAAGACAGGCTCTTAATCTAACAATAAACCAGTAAGATTCAAGAAATTCAAGGTGCAACAGAATTACTTGACTTCCCAAGGAAAAAACTACATAATTCCACCAAGAATCCATACATAAACAATGATGTCATACTCATTTTTTCTATGCAATGTTTCACAGGCATTTGTGTTGTTACTTGCACATGAATAAATGTTCTCCATCATACCCTGGTATAAATAATGGCACAGCGCAAATAACAATCAATATCCTTATAGCCCTCTATAATCTGCTTATTATAATTTGCTCAGACGGTAGAAAAATCAATTTTCCTTAACAATCAATTTATATTGCAAATATATATGGAAAACCCTCTCATTTTAAATGGATTTCTACTTCATTAAACTCTTCTTAATGAGTCTGGGGATACAGCTTTCAAGTAAATGAACAGAAGGTACTTAAAATAAAATTAGCTGAGTTTGAATAAGAACATATCGTACAGCTAACAGAAAATGAGCTACTTCATACACTAACCACCTAGTGCAATTTCCCATTCTTCCAGGAAGGTTTGCTTTAGGAAGAACAACCTCGTTGAACACACATCAAGAATCTTCTTTTTAAATGACAGACAAAAGTCGAATATACCCCTATGTGTAACAGTGATTATTCAGAAGTGCATATTGGCCCTTGCTGTTCAATAGGGATCTTTGGTAATCTTACTCTACGATTGACTCCAAGTACTAAAAGTCAGCTTCTTACTCACACTGCTATATATTAACTTTTTTATTTTTAAAAAATACAATATTTTTAAACACAGTTGTAAAAATGAAATCTCTAGGCATAAAATGGAGAGAGATACTGAATTCCACATAATTCTATCCTGGCTTGAAGGAAGGCAGTATTGTTCAAAACTTTTCTCTGTTAGAATTCATTGTATGGGAGAAAGACACAACTCTTCCAGTTTTTGGAGTTGTTCAAGGAGTATCAGGGTATGTAGCCAAAACCTGGAAGATAATAAAAGAACCACTTGCAATATTTCAACCTTTCCCATTAGCAGTGGGAGCTAATTTCAAAACTATGCACTTCTTTTTGCCAGATGATTTGGATCACTTGATATCCAGATCCCTTTTAACTGCGTATTCTCTTCCCTCTGCTCCAATGCAGTATCATTGAAGATAAATACACCAACTTGATAGACTCGCCTCAGCCACCTGAAACACAAACAAGTAATGAACAAAAGAAATAATAAACAATATTCAGATTTTCTTTTCCATGCATAAACTATACAGCATGCTGCTCTTATCACAAGCATATAACATTTCCCCAGCAGAAGACAAGATCTTTCATTTCTCATCAAAATAAGAAACGAAAGCCCGCTTCCTGCTAGCTATCGGGACATCGGTAAGTAGAGCTGTAGAAATACTTTGCTGAATTCTGTTCTAAAGTTTGTATTCAGCCCTCTCCACAGAGAGGGCAGATCAGAAACCCCGCTCGCCCATCCACACGAGGTCCCGCGTCACGCCGCCCGTGCCCGCGGGCCCGCCGCCGCCGGGGCCGGAAGGGCGAGCCCCGGCCCCGCCCTCAGCGCTGCGGGCTCGCCATGGCGGCGGCGCGGCCGGCGCGGGCCCGGGCCCTGCTGCAGCAGAGCGTCTCGGCCCGCCTGCAGGTGCGGCCGCCCGAGCGGGGCTCCGAGGCCCAGTGGGTGGAGGTAACGTGGGCCGCGGGCCGCCCCCACCGCCGCTGTCGCGCTTCGGCCCGCGCAGCGGAGAAAGAAAGCGAGAAAGCGCTCCGTCCCTCCGCGCGTGCGCCGGCGAGGGCAGGGTGCGCCTGTGGGCTTCTGAGGGGAGCAGCCTCTGCTCCTTTTCCGGGCTGGGCTGCGCTTCGGGCCGGCTTCCAGCCTCGTCTCATTTCCTTTCCAGAGCACTCTCCTCGCCCCCTGATTTTCAGCAAAGGTTGCGGTCAGCCCCTTCGGCAGAGGGACGAGCAGCAGGAGGCGCACAGCGATTTCTCTCTGCTTTTCTTTCTCCCTGTGGTCCAGAGTCCTCCGCAGGCAGAAGTCTCTTCGGGAGCATGACTGCTCCACGGGCACACACTTCCCTTCCTACTGTGTTGTTCCTTCTTTTCTTAAATACACTTTCACAGAAACGCAACAGCCTTGGCCGGTGGGCTCAGCTGTCGGCTTTGTTTGTTGTGTGGTAGTGTTAAGTTGGAGAAGAAAGGCCAGGTAGGGCAGTGGGACTCTGGCAGCAGCAGTTCTGATGTTGTTTGGGGATTTTTTTTCCAGGGCACTAACTAAAAATGAAATTTAGTACGTAGACCACGACACATGTTAAGGAAAACATTGTATTTTCCCCCTTTTTCTCCCACAGTCTTCTGCCGGGGGAGATAGGTAGGTCTGCGCTCTTTGGTCGATGTGCTGTGCATGCAGCCCAGGGTGCACTGACTTGCTGTAGTTGTCATTGCTTGTAAGTTACCTAGACTAGAAGAACTCATTTCTGCCATTGTCAACTATTTAGCCCATGGGATTTTTTCATTTTGTCTTTTGTCCTTTTTAAAGACTATTACAAAGGAAGGGATTCAATGCAGTCATTTCCATAAATTTTAAAAAGTAAAAGTTCTAGCATTGTTAAAGGGTTTATGCATTCATTCAACACATCTGAAGAGAGTTCACGCTTTGCCTTTCACATTAGCTTTAAAACATTCTATTCTTGTTCAGAAGGGACTGGTGGATCCAGCAGAACTAGTTTCTGCAGTATGGTTTGGGAAGCCAGAATGTTTTACTGGGAGGAAATAGGTATAGATACTGTGTTTCACAGATGTAGTGCATCTGTGAATACTGCATTAGCCTCTTAGTGTAAGGTTAATTACAATAAATTTCACTTAGCCCAGTATAAATTAACTATAGGAGAAATAATCTATTTCTAGTTTGCTAATCACAGACGTAATTGTAGATCTAGAAAAGCAGAAAGGTAATTTTGCTGTCTTTCTTTTAAACTATCTTTAAAGGTATATCTTGTGCTTGAGAGATATGAATAATTGCTGCAAGGAGGCTATGTAGTTTATCTCTCTAATTTGCAAAATCACTTGGAAAGTAATAGATATCACTAAAGGAATCTGAAGGAGATCTGGATCATCTTCAGCAGATATTTTTCAGACATGAACCTTACTAATATTTGTCATGGGTACCTGGGGCTTTTTAAGAGAGGTCTGTTTTAACAAGAACTAGTCACCATGCAGAAAGAAAGGCAATTAGAAGTTCATTTTTTCTCTAGTATGATTACTTTAGAGGTTGTTGGAAGGAAATTTTGCTGCTAACATTTTCTGGTAGGGTAATTTTACTCCCTATTTTTGCATGTGAGTGCAAAAATACAAAAATTAAAAAGTACAGACATCATCAACTATTATTTACATCAACCTGTGTGTTCCTGATGTTTTATGACCAATTAATAGTGGGACCTCACCTTGAGACATTTCTAGCATACTATAATTATGTAGGTGGCTTTGAATAGCTTCTGAGCTGTAAAAGACCCTTGTAGGTACTTTAGGAACTCCAGACCAGACATTCTTTATCTCCAGAAAAGTTAGGAATATAGTTTATACGTTATACGTTAATCTCTGCTTTCATGATTAAGTTTTTTTGACCTGTTGAGGGTTACTGTGCACAGGATGTCTTGTTTATGGAGAATTTTGGTTATAGACCCTCCGTAAAAGGCTTAGGTATGCAGCAAAATAGGAATTAAAAAAAGGAATTCCTTGTAAAGGTAGGAGTGAAATAAGGTAAGGTTTAGTATCTTTCATAACTGTGGGAAAAAAAGAAACAAAATGAATATTCAGTTAAAAAGTATAAGTGCCTATACTTCCTGCAAGGAAAACTGTCTTTTCCCTGTCTTATTTCACTTGACTTGTTTTCTGGTTACTATGGCAAAAAGAAGTGCAAATTTCTCGGCACAGACTTGTTCTGTGACCTGTGGCAGATGATGTCATCTCTCTCTGCTGCACTGAATGTAAGAAATATGAAGAAATCTTCCCAGAGGGTAGTAAATCTGAATTTGAAATGTCACAGAATAATTTATGTAAGGTGGTTTCACAAACTGACTTTCTAAGAATTACAAAGTATTTCTGCTTTTATTATCCATTGCATTTTCTTGGAGGAAAAAGTAGTAAAAGGTAGAGATAGTATTTTGCAAAATATATTTTGATTTTGCTAATGAAATCCTGAAAAATACAAATGAATATTTAGTAAGGAGGGTGAGGAAGGAGTCAGTTATTTGTTTTTTGCTGCTAAAAAGCAGCATTTGGAGGCAGCATTGCTAAGGCTGTCTATATGTCACTGGGACTGGGTACCTCAGCCCTTCATTATCTGGTTCAGCAGGTTGCCTGATCTGATGATTACTTATGACACTGTATAATAAAAGCCAGTGTTACACAGTATCTTGCTTTGCTGGTTTATTTATGTAGGCATTTTACTGCTCACAGTAGATCCACATAGAGCATAGCTTTCCTGGCTGGTCACTGTGTAGGTTCCTTGCAGTGGCTGTTTGCACACCAGCATGTTGAATTTATGATCTTCTTATTAGTGTTATTTTGCTCAAATTTTTGTGCATTAAATGTAGGTCTGAGGAGCAGTCAACTAAGCTTTGATAGGTTACAGAGGACCTACAGCAATGGCAATGGTTGTGCTTTGGTTCAGAAAGTTTACATGTTACATTGACAATGAGCATAAGTCTTAGGACATCTGAAACCCTGATATAAGGCCAGGCTGACACATGTTATTATTAGGTTGGGTCTTATAATTGCATTCAGTTTTACATCTTCTATTCAATTAAGAAAGCTAAAGAATAAAGTAAGACTTAATAAGGGGTTGAAACATGGCTGTACAAGTTGAACCACAGTTTTCAGTCATACTTGAAACCATAAGTTTCAGCTTACAAGTAGTTGCATAGCTTTCAAGTTTATCATGGTTGTGAAGTGTTCTAGAAGACCATAAACATGCCGTAAAAAACAAGCATCCTCTAACAGCTTCAACTTGTCTTTGAATTGTTTTCTCATTTAACCTTCTGTCCCTCTAATTTTCGACAATATGTATGTCTCATCTTGTGATAAATAGTTTATTCAAAAACAAGTATCAAATAAGGGCAGGGGTTGGAAAAATCATTATTTGCTTTAATTAATCTTTATCTGTCTGGCCTTAGGACTTGCAGGGGTCACTTAACTTATTTTTTGTGTCTTTAAAATGAGCTGCTTGCAGATTATTGTTGCTGCTGTGCAACTGTACAAAAAAAGAGTTTTGCAAGGAGCCATTTAAAGCTTTTTAAAGTTTTCAGCATGTGACATTTTGGCTACAAAGAACATTCTCTTTTTTCAGAAGTTAGTCACGAGAAAAATAGTTGAGAAGGCATAGCTTTTCTCAGTCATTGCCTTGAGTATTTTGTTTAATCTCTGCAATCATGAATGTACAAAATCTCATGTGTATAGCTAAAATTTCTTCACCAAAAACCTTTATCATTTGGGGGAAAAACAAATAGAGGAATTTTTTTTAAGTATTCTTTGTAAACTACTCACATTTTCTATCCTTTTGCTTTGATAGCATTAATAGTAACTCCTTCATGTCCCAATCTGTTTAACATCTCTTTGGTGGTGTTTCACAAGTTAATGTTTATGTTTCCTCCAACAAAATTTAAAGGGTACTTATTCTTGACAAAGCATCAGGGAGGTTTCTTTATATACGGTCTGTCTGTGGATGTTTTGAATTTTTTCCCAGAGGAGTTAAGCCATGCAGGTATACTTGTGCATGAGGCATAGTTGCTGCTGGCTGCAGAGCCTATCAGTTTGGCTTAATAAAGCATGGGTTGTTGCACATGCATTCCTTACAGACTAACCAAGTGAGCAGAAAAGCTACATAAGAGTTTTCTCATGCTTTCTTCTCAGTAGAGGCCTAATTCTTCCCTCAAATACATAGTTTTTATACACGGTTGCTCTGGATGCAAAATAGGTGGCATATCCTTTATACCAATCAGATGGAAGGTTCCATTTTGCCAGTTAGATTTTACCCAAACTTGTATATATTCTTTTGAACAACTTTATAATATTCTGATCAACTTCACAGGTCTTGGTCTTCATATTTAAATGTGTTTTTTTCAGAATCATATTGTACTAGACTACTTTCAACATAAAAATAAAATTTAGTTCATTGGCAAGTCCTGTGGTGTTTTTTATGTTTTATAATTGGAAATAATATCATAGTTTATACTGAAAATTATTTTATCTGTATGATAGGAAAAAAGCTTAAATTATTTCTTATGCTGGATTTAAGTATACTAATTCACCTTGCTACCTTGTCTATGTTAATACTGTACACTCTACATTCCAGCTAAATTTTGGCTTCATATGGAGCTAATAAATGTCTTAATTGTATGTAGAAGCATTTTGCAGATAATCAGTATATATCTTATCTTCCACAGTGTGTTGTGTAAACTCAGTGTCTGAAGCTACACTAAATAACTAAAACTAGTCTTTGTTATGTGGTTTTGTTGTTTTTGATATTGTTTTAATGATGGGCATGCACCATAGAT